ATTGTTGTTTGATGTTAGTAGCAAGTTCTGGTCAGGCACATATGTATTAACTGTGTTTTAGGTTTGTTGTTTGATGTTAGTAGCAAGTTCTGGTCAGGCACATATGTATTAACTGTGTTTTAGGTATATTGTTGTTTGATGTTAGTAGCAAGTCCTGGTCAGGTACATATGTATTAACTGTGTTTTAGGTATATTATTTGATGTTAGTAGCACGTCTTGGTCAGGTACATATGTATTAACTGTGTTTTAGGTATATTGTTGTTTGATGTTAGTAGCAAGTTCTGGTCAGGTACATATGTATTAACTGTGTTTTAGGTATATTATTGTTTGATGTTAGTAGCAAGTTCTGGTCAGGTACATATGTATTAACTGTATTTTAGGGAGATGTAAATTTTGTCTTATAATTTTTCGAAAGGTAATTTTTAACTTCTGTGGTTGTAAAAATTTAACAAATTTGTTTTTTGTGTTTCAACCCTAGCTGTAGTGGCTGTTTATTTATGGTTTAGTCCATTACAATGTGTTACATGTAAAATAAAAGGGTTTTCAATCAAATACAGTATAATGACATCAGTAAATTATGCAAATTGGTATTTTAGAAAGTTGTATCGGCTGCCAATACCAATCCAACCTAAAGAATTCCCCGATGTTTTTCCAATCAGAATTTTAAGAAATATAAATCAAGTTGAAAATAAATTTTCAGTTTCAAGAAATTAACTTTATCCATATCATTGAAATTCCACGTTTTGTTTTATTTATACTTCTGATACTACTTGTTCGTAGTTAACTATATTATATTTGATTTTTTGTTTACTCTATGTTGTGGCTTTTTATAAAGCAAGGTAAATTCACAAGTAAGGTATGTTTCACCTAGAGGGTTAATGTTCAAGTAAAATCCCTCTGAAGATCTCAAAATGATTATATTTTCTTCAGCTCCTGGTCCTCCTGGAGCCCCACCTCCAAGAGGACCTCCTGGCCCTCCAGGAGCCATGGTGCCTCCTCCAGGCCCACCAGGACCTCCTGGTGCACCACCCACTCCTGGTCCGTCCATTGCTGTGGTTCCTCAAACACCCCCAGGCCAAGCACATGACCTCCCAACATTTATATGCCCTCGTCGCCCTAATGTTGGCACAGATGGAAGGCCCATTATGCTCCGAGCTAACCATTTTGAGATTTCAATGCCAAGAGGCTATCTTCATCATTATGATGTTACCATTACTCCTGATAAGTGTCCTCGTCGAGTCAACAGGTAAGTTTTACGTTTTTTTATCCTACTGTGCAATTTAAGAATTAATTGAACAAAGAACATTAATACTGTACAGATGTTTAAAGTGTCAGGCAAACAAGTTAGCAGTGTTTAAAATCATTATTTAAGGAGTCTAATTAATTGTGCATTTTTTGTTTAAAATTGATCAACCTAGGTTAAGTTTTCATATTTTTGTCTTAATACAGCTGGTAACTATAGTCATAGTGTGTTAAATTTTGCTGAAATGGAAATACACACAGTGTTCAAGCCACATCTCAGCATATTTACAGTTATTCTTCTGTTTCTGAATTTTTAAATTTTTTGTCTTAGAGTTTTGTTATAGATATAATATAAACTTTGATGCTTGTATATTGTTGAATCATAAGTATAATATAATATATATATAGAGAAATAGTTGAAACCATGGTTCAAGCATACTCAAAGATTTTTGGAAGTCAGAAACCTGTATTTGATGGGAGGAAAAACATGTACACAAGAGACGACCTTCCAATTGGAAAGGACAAGGTAAGATAACTTGACTGACGTTTGTGGGAGAATTTAAATTGGTATTTGTAAGTCAATAGTATAAATCTAGGAATACGAATTTTGTTTCCAAAGGCAAATTTAAACTGAAAGGTCTCATATTCTCAAAACATCATTGTAAGAAAAAAATAACATACATGAATCCAAATGAGCTTCTTGGTAATTTTCTAATCACTTGTGTAAGTATGATAAGTGGTAATTTTCTGATCACTTGTGTATGTCTGATAAATGGTAATATTTTGATCAATTATGTATGTGTGATAAATGGTAATATTTTGATCAATTATGTATGTATGATAAGTGGTAATTTTTTTGATCATTTGTGTATGTATAATGTGTACATGTGATAAATGGTAATTTTTTGACCACTTGTGTATGTGTGATAAAGGGTAATATTTTGATCACTTGTGTAAGTATGATAAGTGGTAATTTTCTGATCACTTGTGTATGTCTGATAAATGGTAATATTTTGATCAATTATGTATGTCTGATAAATGGTAATATTTTGATCAATTATGTATGTCTGATAAATGGTAATATTTTGATCACTTGTGTATGTGTGATAAGTGGTATTTTTTTATCACTTGTGTAAGTATGATAAGTGGTAATTTTCTGATCACTTGTGTAAGTATGATAAGTGGTAATTTTCTGATCACTTGTGTATGTCTGATAAATGGTAATTTTCTGATCACTTGTGTATGTCTGATAAATGGTAATATTTTGATCAATTATGTATGTCTGATAAATGGTAATATTTTGATCAATTATGTATGTCTGATAAATGGTAATATTTTGATCACTTGTGTATGTGTGATAAGTGGTATTTTTTTATCACTTGTGTATGTATGATAAGTGGTATTTTTTGATCACTTATGTATGTATAATTGGTATTTTTTGATCACTTGTGTATGTATAATAAGTGGTAATTTTTTGATCACTTGTGTATGTATAATAAGTGGTAATTTTTTATCACTTGTGTACGTGTGATAAAGGGTAATTTTTTATCACTTGTGTACGTGTGATAAAGGGTAATTTTTATCACTTGTGTACATGTGATAAAGGGTAATTTTTATCACTTGTGTACGTGTGATAAAGGGTAATTTTTTATCACTTGTGTACGTGTGATAAAGGGTAATTTTTTATCACTTGTGTACGTGTGATAAAGGGTAATTTTTTATCACTTGTGTACGTGTGATAAAGGGTAATTTTTTGACCACTTGTGTATGTATGAT